AGACATACAGAAAAGTGTCTTATTAAGTACAGCACACACACTAAGGAGAACTTTGTCTATGTAACGCTAGCAACTTCATCGGAGATAAAAAAAAAAAAAAAAAAAAAAAAAATTAACATGAAATGTGGCCATAACAACACACCACGACCTGCCTTAGGTCTTTCCGCAGACTTGGTAGGTAGTGTGTCCATAGCAGAAATCGAATGATGATGATGATGACAATAATAATAATAATAGAGGAATATTTCAAGGTGACTCTTTGTCTCCTTTATTATTTTGCATATCACTTATAGCATTAACCAGCCAACTTAACAAGACAGAATGCGGTTACAAAATAGCTCAAAAGAAAATAAACCATCTATTTTACATGGATGACTTAAAATTGTATGCTAGGAATGACAATGAGCTGGAAGGTCTTCTGCAAACTGTAAAATGCTTCAGTGAAGACATTGGAATGAAATTCAATTTGGATAAATGTGCTAAAGCTACAGTTTTACGAGGATCGCTACAACAAACTTCCTCTATTAGTTTAGACCCTGCTGTAACAATAAAAGATGTAGAACAAGGAGAAGCTTATAAGTACCTAGGTGTAAATGAGAGTGAAGGAATTCACCATAAGAAAATGAAAGAAATAGTGCGTAAAGAGTACTATAGAAGGGTACGACTGGTATTAAAAACTGAATTGAATTCTCAGAACAGAATTATGGCCATTAATAACCTTGCCATCCCAGTGGTCCAATATAGTTTCAACATCTTGAACTGGACTCTAAATGACATCAGACAAATGGATTCTAAAACAAGAAAGCTTCTTTCTAAGTATAAGATGCATCATCCAAAGGCTGATGTAGACAGTCTATACATACCCCGTAAAGAAGGTGGAAGAGGTCTTATTCAGCTAGAATTGTCATACAAGACAACAACTATTGGCTTACTAACTTACATGGAAACAACAAATGACTGGATGATAAAATTAGTGAAACAACATGAAAAAACAGAAAGAAAAAATATTCAATAATAAAAGAAGGCAGTAAATACAAACAACATTTACATTTAGTAGATTCTGTAGTAAATCAAAACAGAAGCCAAGAACCAACTATTGCAGCAAAAGATATGAAAAAGAAAGCCAAGGATAAAGCCCTTGAACAGATGAAACAACGCTGGCAAGACAAACCTCTGCATGGCCAATATCCAGAACGTGCAAATAAACCCAATGTTGATAAAGTTAATACTCATCGATGGTTACGAGCATCTGGATTAAAGTCTGAAACTGAAGGCTTTATTCTTGCAGCGCAAGACCAGAGTCTTTTCACTAGGAATTTTCAGGCAAATATCATACATAATAATGTGGATCCAAAATGCAGGTTCTGTGACAAATACCAAGAAACAATAGACCATCTAATCTCAGGATGTTCTATACTTGCCCCAAATGAATATAAAAATCGTCACGATAGAGTGGGGCAATACTTACACTGGACAATGTGCAAACACTTTGGAAAATGTGTAAGCAAACACTGGTATGAACATCGGCCAGCGCCGGTTACAGAAATAGAAGATGTCACCATTCTATGGGATTATACCATCCACACAGACAGAAAAATTGAAGCAAATAGGCCGGACATTATTGTCAAAAACCAGAAAGAAAAACTTGCCTACTAATTGATATGGCTTGTCCAGCGGATTGTAACATAGCAACCAAGGAATTTGAAAACTATCAAAATACAAAGACCTGGAAATTGAAATAGAAAAAATGTGGAAATTGAAAACAAGAATAATACCAGTGGTAATAGGTGCACTTGGAATTATAAAAAATGGAACAAAACAACACATTGAAAGAATCCCTGGAAACCCCAGCTTAAGAGACATACAGAAAATTGTCTTATTAAGTACAGCACAAACACTAAGGAGAACTTTGTCTATGTAACGCTAGCAACTTCATCGGAGATAAAAAAAAAAAAAAAAATTATGAAATGTGGCCATAACAACACACCACGACCTGCCTTAGGTCTTTCCGCAGACTTGGTAGGTAGTGTGTCCATAGCAGAAATCGAATGATAATAATAATAATAATAATAATAATAAGCATAAAATCGAAACAACTGAGAGAAGGCATGAGCACCAACCAGACGCAGTTGCCCAATTGCCCAAAATAACGATGTAACTATCCTCTGGGACATGCCAATTCAAACTGATAGGGAAATAAAGGCAACAAACCTGATATTGTCATAAAAGACAAGAAATTCAAGAAGCGCATGCATATTGACATAACAATACCATCTGAAGGAAACACCAACCATGACAATTATCGAGAAATTGTCCAAATGCAAGGACCTTGAAATCGAGATTAACAGGATGTAGGAAATGAAGTTTTAGACTGTACCAATAGTAATCGGACCAATGGGCTTCGTGAGAAAATAAATGGACAATTTTACTGATATTGTCACAGGTAACATCAACATACATGTTGCCCAGAAGATCTCCCTACTAAAAACATCCCATATAC